AAAAACTTGTTCTTTCAACTTTAAATTTCTATGAGTAATAAACAATCATCAAACTGTAAAAATTGTTAAAATAAAATGTAAATATTTTAAAATGTTTTTTAACATTACTTTTTATTTTAAATAGTAAAAGTTATTATTCAGTATTATATTTTTTGAATTCAATTAGCAAGGTTTAAAAATTACAGTTTAAATGGCAAACTATATAAATGTTAGTTCGCACTGTAATTTTTATTCGGCGACATTAGGAATTATATTATTTTATATTGTAATAAATACATCACCGAGAAACTTTATTTTTTACAGTTTTTAATACTAATTACCCGTCGTTAAACTTCAAAACTTGCGCTCTACATTATGATATTTTTATTGCTATTTAAGTTTAAAGAAATACATAATAACGTTGCGAAGTTTGCACTTTTCCTTTCGATGCGACAGTTTTTACAATTTGAATTGTAATTTTTCCTGTTTTCTATTTTCCGTGTATATATATAGAATTCTATACAATTATATAGAAGTATATATAATTATATAAGAAAAATGGCTCGATATAATTAAATAATTTAAATCTTTAATGTATAAAAGTCACTAAGTGCTTTAAGCATTGTAAGGGTCCTGTAGTACATAAACTTTTAAATTCAAATTTGGCGCTATTTTAACCAAGGAAAATTTAAATAATCCACTAAAAATAATATTATAGTTTAAGTTATTTTATGTTTTAAAACCATATTGAGTTTTAATATTTCACTTCTTTGTATCTGAACGTAGAAATATTGGGGTGATATGTTTATGTTAGACATTCTTGCTTAAGTGGCCGAGATGTTTAAAAGCTAGTTTAGGAAATAGAATAGACAGAGGGTTTTTGCTCGCCCTTCGAGATACTCCTGTTAAACAGTTTGTGAAATATATTATAATATAGCTATAGTTTTGTGATTGTTACCGATTTTCTGCTATAACTAGGTATGTACACTTTTAAAAATTGTAAATTTGCTAGTAATGATAAACAACTCCTCGTTTTGGGTTTTCTTAATATATTTTTGCTTATAATTTTGAACAATATTATTTAATTCGCATTTTTGTCTATGACGTTTATCATTGCTAGTTTATTGGGTCCTAATCATTTTAATATGTGTAAATAGCGAGTGATTTTTGGTAATATTTTTTATTGTATCACTATTTCATTATTTTGGTTTAATATCTTGGTATCTCGCATACACTGAGTTCCAATCTTTATGATGTCACGTTCATCACATACACTGAATTAATTACATTTAACTTAAATTTTAATATTTTGTAATGTCTTTATTTTGAGTTACACTGGCCTTGATTTTGTGGTTTCCTTTTGTATAACTTTGTATAACTTTTATTTAACTGAAATGTATTTTATTGTTTTTGAAACTCAGTGTATCATCTCGGTATTAAGGTATTTATTTATTTTAACTCTTTGCATTTGTACTCAGGCTAAAGCTTTTAACAATTATATTACTATTATAATATTGGTATTATTTGGGTAAGGTTTATTGTTATTATTATTATTATTATTATTATTGCTTTTATTATTATCACATAATTTGATATTACCATTAGGTAATATCATGGTAAGGTAATAGTACCGATTAGCATTTTGATAGATTCGGATTGGAGACTTAGGGTTAAACCTGCTTACCTAAGCGCTTTAATTTGAATACTTGATAATGACTTTTTGGGTGCTATATTTTGTTCTTATAATATTTATTTTATACAGCGCGACACTTTCATGTGGTTTGAGTTTTAGGCTATGTTTATGTGTTTTTGTAATGACGCTCTCCTATTTACCATTTATTGTATTTATTTACATTTTACCCCCTTTTATTTTATTGCTAATTGTTGATTTTATTTGTGTCTGTATTTGTATTTGTGTTTTGTTGGAAAAGCGTTTTTACTTGAACATATAAGCATGGGTAATATAAAGGTATTAGGTGAAAGGTGGTGTCGTTATGTTACTTACCTTTAATTTCTGTGTGCAGGCCGTGTTTGTATGCTTTTACAATACTATTGTCTTGTGCTGGACATTGATTTTGTGAGAGGATTTAAAATGCGTAAGTGGTATAAAGGCACTAAGTGAGAGCAGTGTCGTTATATTTCTTCCACAGATGGTTTGCTTAACATTTTTCCATAGTGTGGTTATTAGCTACGGGTAATATCTGCATTATATCAATAATTTCCCGCGTTCCTATCCTATTTAGCATTCGAATTCTCTCTATATGAAAGTTGTAGTTGCTGTTCGTTTATTATTATTATTATTATTATTATTTTATAAAATCGTATCATCGTACAATAGTTCGAAGATGCGTGGTAAGGTAATCAAATAGTACAAATCTTTGTCATAAAATGACAATCCCTAAGAATGACTTTACCTGAGTATAAAATGTTTAGAATATTGATAAAATACCCAAATCAAATGAAATATGTTTATCTGCTTTTCATGTTATTTTATTCACTTATGATTTATATAGTATTCTTGCGATTATGACCCATGTTTTAATTGTTTTGTTTTGTATATTATTTTTATTTGAACTGTGTAAGTCGCCAGGGTTTTTATGGTCCCTTTTCCCTGTGCTTTGACTCAACGGGCCACCCCTTTGTCTTTGCTTAAATTAAATCAGGGGTTTAAAAATTAAATACTTGTGTTTCATTAAACCTGACCAATTTCAAAATAACGTTATTATCAATGTACTTAAATACACAACGTAGAGTCCTTATTTTTATAAAGTAAGTAAATTAACTAAACGATCACGAATATGCCAAAACAAGTATTTCAGTATACTTAAAGAATCGGGTTACGAAAATACATAGTGTACCTTACAGCATTATATGCATATATTAAAGATTAAGATTAATTAAAGATTTGGATATATAAACAACAAACCACACAACTATGTTTATGAAGATTTTCACAAAATGTCAGTTAGTGACTTTAGGCAGGAATATAAAAATATAATGTCATCAAAACCCAATACATTTAAAAGATACCTAACTACATTTGAGGAGCATCCGTGCAAAACTTTAATAAAATGTTGGGAAAATGGCAAAAACTCTTGGTTTCCTGGCCTTTACAGATAACAAAAAAAAGCAAACTTGAGTTTTGTGGGCTTTATGGTACTTGATTTAAAAGACATACTTTCGTTTTAAAAACTTTATATTAAGGCCAAAATTTCAAAAAATGTTTTGTATATACTTAGCCGGTTTTGCTCATAAACCTACGAATAAAATGTAAAAAAAACCTTTATTATTCAATAATATTAACAAAATAAGTTTAGTGATAACATGAAAAAACAGAACAAATTTTAGTATCGACATATCGACATATCGAAGCCACATGCTCATCATTATTATTTATTGGCTATAGCCCGGTTTACTATAAAAACGTGGATTTGGCCGATTTTGCTCCTAAAGCTACCTTTTAAATGTGATTTTAACATGGATATAGTCGGATTTAAACCGAATTATCTTGGTTGTTGATAGAAATGAACCCAAAGATGCAAAATCAAAAAAAAAATCAAAAACTGAATAAAATGGATTTAGCCGGTTTTGCACGGATGCTCCTCATTTGTAAGAGACCTGATCAGTTAAAAAAAGTTTGGTAGATAACATAATATGTTATCTACCAAACTTTTTTAACTGATCAGGTCTCTTACATATTATGTTACAGGATATTTGGATATCCCAAGAATATCCTCGGACGTCCTCTGATGGCTACAAGATGGCGATAGTGTTAAAATATGTTTATTTTAGAATAGAAATATAATTTCGATTAAATCGATTTATTATAAGAAAAATAATATCTACCATTTACTATTGAATTTTGAAAAACGTGTGAAGTATAATTTATCTAAAATTCCGCAACAGTGTTGCCACAACACCTGCTTATTTCCTGGATGTAGGCGTGCCTGCCTCGCGTATGCTAATACGAGAGAAGGAGACAACTATGATATCGCATTGTAATAGAACGAGACAACAAGGCTAACGCCAATCGTGAGTCTAAATTAGTTCAGGCATGCTTCTGAGCCAATCATCTAGCTATAAATATAAGTTTAAATTGCGGTCGTTACTGACACTGTTACTGTGACACAGAAGAATGCACAGTTTTGCCACGCTGGTATAAAAAATACAAAAAAAACGTGTTGTGGCTTCAAAATAGTTAAAAACACCATATCCTACTAAAATCCTTTACCAAATACATTGCCGCAAGAGGGCAGCACCAAAATGTGCGCTCAATCCAGAAGGGGACCAAAATTAAGGAACTTTAGGGGTTATTTTAACCACTTGTATTTTTAATTATTACCAGAAATGGGCATTTTCTGTAATATTTGGAATATATTCTCAACTATATAAAAAAAGGATGTTATTTTACTCAAAGATCTTTAAATAACATTAAGTAGTGAATATTATTCCAAGTGGGCTTTTCTGTACTATTGAAGAAAGTTTAATTTTTTATGGGGTTAAATTTAAAATTTTACAATTTTGCTGATATATAGTTGCTAAAAACAATTAAACCAATTGATTTCGCTTAATATACTAGAACCTTATAAGGTTCCAAATGGCGTTTGAAAATAACCCATTTACTTTTTATTTCTATTAAGTTCTATTATAAAATCTGAAACACTGTATATTGGGCAATAATCTTTTTTATATAAATTTAAAAATATGTAAATTATTTTTTTTTTAATTTTAATATTCTTTTTTATATTTCAAAAAAATTAAATATTAATAGTATGATTTAATATATTATGATAACATTAATAGTTAATTTTTTAGATATGCATTTATTGACTAAAATATGTTATATGAATAATAATTTATTATGATTAAAAACTTTTGAAAACAATGTATATATACAGATAGCTTTTAAATCAATAATAGTTGCAGACATGTAACCGAAAGATGTCGCATGGAATTATGGCAAAATTAGGACACCATACCGCAGCAGGAAGACCGATCGAACTCCTGGTCTTCGATGCGCAAGACTCGTTCCTGCAACCAGGGAGAGTCAGTTCTTTCTATTTTAAAGTCCTTTGCGTAAACGGGTAGTGGATATACATCACATACTTTTCTACGATGGCGGATAAAAAAGATCAGTTTTACACCCGTCCACCGAAGTTAGGCAAGTGGGAAGGTTTCCGACAGTTTTTGTGGAATTCAGAAACTGGACAATTTATGGGAAGAACTGGCTCCAGCTGGGGTAAGTAAATCTCCTGTTAAATTGAAGATTTTTTTAAATGTCTTCTTTAAATAATACCCACCTTTGGTTAGATTATTTAAATATATCATTCATTTACAATTGTTTGTTTTAAATAAATCTTCATTAACCTTTAACATTGGATTTTGATAAAAAAAAATTAATTAACCAATCAATAATTTATTAAACAAAATTAAAATAACTGTACATTTTACATGATTTAATAAAATCAGTTACACAAATGTTATATAACATTTGATTTAATCCTTAAAATGTCATGGCGTCTTTTCGTTGAAAAAGGACAATGGTCGACGCCCGTCCGATTTCTTTTCATCTATTACGCGCTTATGTTCTATTCTAGTTATAATTTAAAGCTTTAATAATAAAGATAAAATATTTATTTACTCTTTTTCTTTTTTTGTTTAAATCGATTTTGTTACGCAATGAGGAAGTTTTCACTATCCTTCAGTCAACTTTCACCTTTAAACCTTTTGCTGGGATTAAACTGTATTTTAATGCAATTTAGCACAATAATTACGCCAAAAATAGGTAAAGTAAATATAGTTTTTAAATTTAAAATAAACTTTAATTAATTAGTTTATTAATTAAGACTGGTAATTGGGAAACAAGAGTAAGGGAGCAATCAAGAGAGTGAGAAGGAAGCTTTCAGCAAATTAAATTTAAATTTTATATTTAATTAAAAATTACTTTTCTACACGTTATTTTTTTATTTATGCTACGTATATAGTACGAAATATGTATTTTAATTTAAATAAATAAAAAAATGTGTCTAGCAAAAATACAAAAATCTATAATCTATAATATTATTACATTTATAAAATTTTAACTAAATCACAGCAAATGTAAGCTGCTTATTCAAAATACGCTATAAATGAAAATCTGAACTAATAATAATAATTTTTTATTTATATATATATATATAATATCCACGCCTTTTTAGTAAAGATTTTTTTGTTTTAGTACCTATAGGTTTACCATATAGTAAAATTTTATTGGTTTAAAATTTTCCTAACTAAAAATTTTCGGTTTACATTAACAAATTTAAAATATTTTCAACTATCATGTATCATTTACAACAATTAATTATCTCAAAATTATTTTAAATATAATATGCAACTGTAAAAGTTTAGGTTTAAGGTTTTTAAAAAATTGTAGTTTTAATATTATATTCTACAAAATTATCGGTTTAAATTTGTCAAGAGTCATTTAAATAATAGTCGATACACTTTTAAGCAAAAAATTAAAACTTTAAAATTTAAAACTAACATAATAAAACAAACATAATATTGTTATCTACTCCTACATTGACCAGCTATGACAGTATGCCGTTTTAGCCACGGGCTAAAGTTAGCAACAGTGGCTTTTGGGAATTTTAGTCACGCGCTTTATTATAAATTAGGAAAAAAGTGAGGTTAAAAGTTGACAGATGTCAAATGTTTAACAAATAAAAGTGGCTTTAATTTCTTCTTTGTTCATCTTAGATAAAGTATAGTTTGCAACTCGTTTTATAAACTTCTCTAGACACTCGTTTTTATTAAACACTCGCTCGCAAGCTTCGCACGTGCCTAATAAAATGGCGTTTATAAAACTTAATACATAATATACTATTAATACAGAAGTAAATTGTTAGTTAGTAAAGTTCGTCTTTAAATTTTTAACACAATACATTAAATGTAAGTCGATAATTTTTAATTTATACAAAGTGTAAACGTAGCTTTATCAGAAGGCGTAAAGCCGGGTCTACAATTGTCGCAGGGGTCCGATCGCAGAACATAAGCTTGCGCAAAGCACCCAGCTGACAAAAGAACCTTGCTCCATCGCCACGTCGCGGGGTGCTTTGCGCAAGCTTATGTTCTGCGATCGGAGCCCTGCGACAATTGTAGACACGGATTAAGTGGTAAATTTTGCGAGTTTAAGTTGGTGAAATGTACGTAAGTCTTTAATATAAAAAAATAGAACTACAATTTTTAAAAATCAATATCAAGTTATATTTTATATTTAAAATATATTTTGACTATTAATTGTTTTCAGTTTTAAAAAATTTAACTTTTTAAATTGTGTGTTAAAACATAACTAAAGTGCTAAACTTTAAACTTTTAACTACACTGCCCGTCAAAATTAACGCATATCCTGTGAAAGACTGTATTTTTGTTAGTAAACCCTGAAAATATTGTACAAATCAAACGAACAGTAGGGCCATTCCACGCTTAACGGATAGGACAGTTGCCGTGTTTTTATTTACAAAATAATATTGTTCTATTATATTACCAATGTCAAATTTTTATAAATAGTTCTAAACAAAAGCTGTTTAACAAGGTTTTTATTTGGCAAAATTAGGTATCGTGATTGACTGTTTAATTCCTTAAAAATTAATAATTTAAAGCGTAACGAACGGGACCATTACAAAGTCCCGTCCGTTACACTTTAAATTATTAGTTTTTAAGAAATTAAACAGTCAACCACTATACCTAATTTTGTCAAATAAAAACCTTGTTAAACAGCTTTAGTTTAGAACTATTTATAAAAATTTGACATTAGTAATATATATATATAATAGAACAATATTATTTTGTAAATAAAAACACGGCAACTTTCCTATCCGTTACGCGTGGAATGGCTCAGTAAAGAAAATACAGCGCTTCAAAGACGTCAAAAATGACCATTTTTCAGCAAAATAATCAAAAAGTTGTAATTTTTACTGACTTTGAAGCGCTGTATCTTTGTTACTGTTCGTTTGATTTGTACAAAATTTTTAGGGTATACTAACAAAAATACGGTCTTTAACACCATATTTTTAATTTACTTAAAAAAATTCTCTAAAAGTTATTTTTAGAACGTGTTTTTTATTATTTGATTAAAGGGCTTTAAAAATATTTTTTTAAAAAACCCTCGAACACATAAACTGAGATATAAGTTGAAGTATTTTTATACAAAATTTCATAAAGATTGGTAAAGGCGTTTTAGAGTTAGAATTTTTTTACTTATTATGCGTTAATTTTGGCGAGCAGTGTATTATCTAATAAATGCTAAAACGGCGTGCCATAAGAATTAGGTTTTTTTTATTTAATATTTTTATTAAACCTAATATTTAAATTATTATAATTATTTCAAATCTTTTGTATAAAATTTTTAATATCACTAAACTTTTTAATTTTAGTGTACGTTACTGTTTATTTTCTTTATTGGCTTAAATTAAGAGTAAATATTGATTAATTTATCATGCCTTATTAAATGTAAATTAAGAAGCAACAAGCACTTACATTTATTTAACTACTAGGAGTACAATTTATCTCAAATAATTTTAATTATAGTTGCAGAAATTTTTTATCTACGTGCGTTAAAAAATATTAACATTAAAAATATTATACAAATATTATATAAAATAATTTAATATTTGCGCAACAAAAAAAACAAAACCGTTAAAAATACTTAAACAATTTGCGTATCAAGAAAAATATTTTTAAACCAGTTAGGTGTACTAAGGGGGAAGTTTTTTTATTACGTCCCCCTTCCGAACTTCGTTCGATCAATATACCGATCAGTGGCGGCTCGTCGTATAAAGCAACTTATAACTTATAAATTATAACAAATTTTGAAATGTTCGATACATTACTTATTTATAAATATAAAACATTTTTAAACTAATTTACAGTCATTAAAAGTATCAAAACATAGAATAACCATCAAAGTTTAAAATATTTCCTTTAAATTTAGCGCGCACCTCTTCCAACTTTAATTCTAAACGCTTAAATCATTGCCCGACCGCATAATAGGGAAATAGTAATCCCAAAAATTTGCGCTTCATATACGTCACACATTGCCGATACAATATCATGCTCCCCACCGCTGCAAGGTGCCGCCGGCACCCCCGCAAGGAGGGGATAATACGCGAATTTTTGAGATCTGTGCGGCTCGCTTATCAGCCGTTGTAAAAGACTGGGCGGGGCGTGGAATGTTATAGTAAACAAAGCTTATTAATTAGATCTATGCGTGTTTATAGTTTCTTATTTCTGTTTAGTCTTTGCCTTAGCGTTAAAATGGAAAGTGGTGATAAAAATGCAAACGTAAAATACATTATTGCGTTGTAAATTCATGTAAAAATAATTCAAATAATTATAAAAGCATTTTTATTTTAATATACTATTATATTAACACAAAAATACCACAGTAAAACTCACAAAAAATATAAATAAAAATATTCATGTTTTTTTTTATAGTTCAGTGTTAAATCGTTGAGTTTCATATACCTACTGTGCTTGTACATTTTGTTGTTGTGCGGTTGAGCCTTTATTAATCTAAAAATAATTTTTGTAAGATAGGTAAAAATGAGCAGTACCTACCTCCTGGGTAATGTGGAAACCTGCTGAAGAAATAAATAAAAATCCCACCTCATCCCGCACTTTTTGTATTATTCTAGCTAAATTTTGAAAATTCTTCTCGTAAAAGAACATATTTTTAAATATTACATATTTTTATTTTGATTCTGAAATGCTCCAAAAACGCGAGACCTTGAAAATTTCAAAAAAATTGCCTGCGACGCCATGGGCCTCACCTTCATGAATGGTCACGAGCCGCCACTGATACCGATATATTAAAGTATCGTTTTTGTTAGTACTTTTATTTCACTATTTTGGACAAAATATATCATAATTTTATTTTCTTTAGGTTTGCAGACCCAGGATTTTGTTAAAGGGGGAATTTTTGTGTTATTTTACCTACCCTCTAGTTTGTTATCCACGTAGGTTAAACTTGCATTTGATGGGCGGTTTTTCTGTCTATTTATTGTTTTAACAATTATCTTTATAGAAACTATCTGTCAGATAAACTGGAACTTAACTAGAGATTAAAAGAAAATGAAAAAAAAACCAAATTTTGAAATTGGACAAAATTAAGTGCTTCGGGCAGTTGCACCCATTGCCCCCCCTGTATTCGCGCCTGCTTATAAAGGGGTTTAAATTATTTATTACGCTATTAAATAATAT